AGAGTGTGTGTGTTTGGTGTCAAACCATTGTCCCCATTATTACATTAATTTACTCTCCAATAGGTTGCCATCAGAGGTGGGGACTATGAAGCTGACTCCACCAGATTCTCTCCCACTGTCACATTTTCCTCCTATTTGATGCCACCATCTAACTACCAACCCTATTTTTTTAAGATTCTCTATTATTTAATTAATTATTAAACAAAGAAATTCTCCTTTTTTTTCAAACCACTTTTCCTTTTTGCCTTTACTTTACTTTTTCTTTGCTTTCTTCCTCTCTTTCTTAATATCTGACGTTTTCTTGATTTCTTGTTACTATGTTCTATAAACATCGGGTAGGCCATACACGGCCCTAAGGGGTCAAGGGCCGGCCCAATAATTAGGCTACTTAATTTATCATCAAAAACCTATTAAGATTTTTTTATATTTAAAAAGGTCTCAAGTAAGATAAAGTATTATTTTAATATTCAACTTAAAATCTTAAAAAGAGTCACTACTATCAAGAGTTTCTTATAATTAAAACTCGTAATCATTATGAAGGTGGCCTTAAATAGTCAAGAGTTTTATGGAATTTAAACTCATAACTTGCATTTCTTAAAACGCTTATGTGACCTCAAGAAAATTTGAAATTGTAACTTAAGTTTCTTGAAATGTTTATCTAATTCCAAATGAGTAAAACACTTCACAAAATTTGAACTTATAATCTACCTTTCCTAATACGCTAATCACAATTAACTTGATATTTCTTAGCTTTTCTCTTTGAATGGCCTTTTTTCCTTCTGTGCTAAGGATTCTTTTTTTTATTATTTTTTTAAATACTGATCTCATTATATCCTCACAATGTTTTTCAAAGATCAAATGAACCCAAGAGGTGCAACCGTGAGCCTAGGATTGGCTGGCATCATTGCATTGCCTTTGAACTTGTTATTATTTGATTGGATGAACAAAAAGAGATGCCCACTTCTTCAACACTTTGTCTCTCATGGTTCCACGTTTTATGCCCCCCCCTCTCTCTCTCTCTCTCTCTCTCTCTCTCCATATCGTTGATGTGGTAAACAATTGACTCATGAAAATTCATGTGTGTTTGCCAATTGGTTTGCCATTTAGTTTTGAAAGATTTTCCCTTTTTCTTATGAAGATGAAGAATGAAAATGTTTTCATTGCCTAGTAAAGCTATAACAAAGACTGAGTTTGTAGCCTTCCATCAGCTCAAGTAGTGCAAATGAGAGAGTAATTCAACATGGTGATCAACTAGCATATAGTGTGTACATATTCCATTATAACCTCAACAAAATTAAAACTCGTAGTCATTATGAAGGTGGCCTTAAATAGTCAAGAGTTTTATGAAATTTAAACTCATAACTTGCATTTCTTGAAACGCTTATGTGACCTCAAGAAAATTTGAAATTGTGACTTAAGTTTCTTGAAATGTTTATCTAATTCCAAATGAGTAAAACACTTCACAAAATTTGAACTTATAATCTACCTTTTCTAATACGCTTATCACAATTAACTTGATATTTCTTAGCTTTTCTCTTTGAATGGCCTTTTTTCCTTCTGTGCTAAGGATTTTTTTTTTTTTTTTTTTTTTAAATACTGATCTCATTATATCCTCACAATGTTTTTCAAAGATCAAATGAACCCAAGAGGTGCAACTGTAAGCCTAGGATTGGCTGGCATCATTGCATTGCCTTTGAACTTGTTATTATTTGATTGGATGAACAAAAAGAGATGCCCACTTCTTCAACACTTTGTCTCTCATGGTTCCACGTTTTATGCCCCCCCCTCTCTCTCTCTCTCTCTCTCTCTCTCTCCATATCGTTGATGTGGTAAACAATTGACTCATGAAAATTCATGTGTGTTTGCCAATTGGTTTGCCATTTAGTTTTGAAAGATTTTCCCTTTTTCTTATGAAGATGAAGAATGAAAATGTTTTCATTGCCTAGTAAAGCTATAACAAAGACTGAGTTTGTAGCCTTCCATCAGCTCAAGTAGTGCAAATGAGAGAGTAATTCAACATGGTGATCAACTAGCATATAGTGTGTACATATTCCATTATAACCTCAACAAGGCCAAGGCCTCACATGAGAATACAAATAATAATATTTTTATTTTATTTTAAATATGAATATCAATATAATTTCAAAATAAAAAATGAGATTATTGAATCATTGACCTTTTCATTCTTTATCATTATTTTATTTTTATGAAAGACTTTACCATCTTCTTGTATGATTTTGAGAGATTTTTCGCTAAAGGTAGAGTATGTTATTTTTTGTTCAATTTAGATTTTAGATTTGTACCCATTATTGTATAGTTTGGGTTTGGACAAAAAAGAGAGATCCAATGCAGATTTGAGGTGTCAAATTTTTTGCATTGTTATCCCTTGTGCCAAATATGACAATGTTTGACAAATTGCTAGATTTTGGCAAGTTGTTTTCTTTCTTCCCTCCTTTCATAATGGGTCAAGCATGTATATAGATGGTTGATCAACAATTTATGTTAAATTTTCTCTTCTTTTTTTTGTGTGTAAAAAGAAAAACTGTAATACTTTTAACATAAATATGAGAAAAATACAACACTTAGGGGCTAATGTAGGAAAGTCATTTTTATACTATTTTCACGAGTTTCTCTCCATTTGGGTCAATGAAAATGTTAGTGTCGCCACATAACGTCCACCTGACATTTTTCATCAAATTTTAATTAGTTAGTAGTTATTGGGCAAAATTAGGAATACGTAAATACTTTAAAGACCAAAATAAAAACTAATGAATATTTAAGGGAAAAAATGTAATTTACCCTAGTATATTACTAAAATTTAAAACATTACCTTGATAAATTATTACCAATTTCACATTATACCAGTACAAAATTTAGAACCAAGAGGCACAATACCGTGTTGTGAGCATGTGGGAGTGTTTTTTGAATTTATTCTAATAATCTGAACCGTTCATATTGTAGGATTCGTCAAATAAATCATTCATAAAAAAAAAAATAAGTCAATTAAACATCTGTAACCTATAACTATAACACATTTATGTTTAAAAAAATAAACGATTAGCATAATTTTAATAATTTTTTAAAAAACAATTACGGTCTGATCATGAGGCTACACTTTTTTTTTTCCCTCAAAATTCACGAATATTTAAGGAGAAAAAATGTAATTTGCCTTGGTGTATTACTAAAATTTAAAACATTACCTTGATAAATTATTACCAATTTCAGAAAACATCATACCAGTACAAAATTCAGAACCTGAAGGCACAATATCGTGTTGTAAGTCTGTGGGAGTGTTTTTTGAATTTATTCTGATAATTTGAATTGTTCATATTGTAGGGTTTGTCAAATAGATCAATCATGAAAAAAATCAAGTCAATTAGACATTTGTAACCTATAACAAGAACACAATTATATTTAAAAAAAGGGCAAATTACAAACACCCCCTCGAGGTTTAGTGAATATACAAATTCTCTCTTGAGGTTTAAGAAATTACAAATTGCCTCCTGAAGGTCAAATTTGCATAACAAATTAGGGGGGAATCTGTATGAAAATAAAAACCTCAGGGGCAATTTGTTATGGAAATATAAACCTCAGGGGACGGGATGCAATTTCTCAAACCTCAGGGAGAAATCTGTATTTTCACCAAACCTCGAGAGGAGTGTTTGTAATTTGCCCATAAAAAAATAAACGGTTAACATAATTTTAATAATTTTTTAAAAAACAATTATGATTCAATCGTGGGTTACGTATGTTGATTAATTTTATTTTTTATATAAATCATATACTTAACAAACGTTACAATTTTAACGATTTAAATTATCAAAATAAAATTGATTCAAACCTTAATGTCATCGTTACAAGGGTGTGATGTTACAACACTTGGCATTACAAGTCCACCTATAGAATGCTTCTAATGTTAATGCGAGTCCTAACAAAAATGATTTAAAGCTCTAATTTTGGAGTTTGAGGAGGAGCTCTAATGATGGAACCCACCATGTAATGTGATGTTTATGTTTGTTTGTTTGTTTATTTATTTATTTTTTGTGCTATGCCATCACTATAGCTCAAATTAGAGCCCTAGTTTTAGAACTTTTAATTACTACTCCAAGCCCTAATTACATTATCGAAAGCAATAATGATACATAACTTTAATATTAGAGTTCTAAATGGAGCTCTAGTGAGGTGAAAAAAAGAGAGATAGAGAGAGGAGTGTGGGCTTCACTGTCATACGGATACTCTCTACATCATTAGAGCTGTATTAAACCTCTCAAACATCGTTGGGTAAATTACAAATACATCTCTTGAGGTTTGCTTAAAATACGAATTCCCTCGTGTGGTTTGGAAAATAACAAATATCTCCCTGTCAGAATTTTTTATTTAACAAATTAATTAAAAAAATAAAATTTCTAACTGTTCACCTATACAATAATAAAATTATCTGAATTATTAATTAAAATAAAATTTTAACATTATTAAAAATTGTTAATTAATTTGATGATTTATTAATAAAAAGACATATTTATAGAAACCTTAGGGGGTATAATGTAATTTTTAAAATCACAAGAAATAATTTATAATTTAAGTAAATTTTAAGGAGTATATTTATAATTTACCCAACATTATTTTATCGAAACATAGAGGATTTTAACTCAAATTAATTGCTTTTAAAAAATTGCACTAATCCTCACCGCAGACAACTTCATACTCTTCAAACTAATAATACAATGCCACGTCATAATTTCAAGGTTATAATAGACCTTTCAAATCAAGATCAAGGCTAAGAATGTAATTTCAAAGTGATAGGTAGGTACAGAGTGAGGTGGCGTGGCAGTGGGTGATTGGGTAAATGCATAGATAGAACAGAAGAGAAACTATAAGCTAAAAGTGTGTGGTTAATGATGGCAAAGCAACATTCCCTTTTAAACCAACATCATTAGTCCACCAAAGGATCTTCCAAACTCATCGGAGAATAAAATCACTTTTTCATTATTCATCAGTTGCTTCCTTTTGCTAAACTAGAGAGAGAAAAACAGTTTGAGAGAGAGAGAGAGAGAGAGAGAGAGAGAGATAGAGAGGACAAATAAAGCTTTCCATCAATCAACACAAAAGCTGCAAAAAATCATTTTTTACCTGCCCTCCATTCAGTTAATTCTGGGTGGGTGGTTTTCTTTTCTTTTCTTTTCTTTTCTTTAATGTTTTTTTGTTCTGGGTCTTTGCAATTTTTATTTATAGAGAGAGACATGTCACTAAACCCCAAAGGTTTTTACTATCTTGGCTTTTGCTTTTGTTTCACTGGTTTGCTATATATATGTGTGTTGATTTTGATTTTGATTATCTATTGTATAACTGAGTTTTCAATATTTTGCAGTAATGGGTAATGTTAGTGGGAGGAAAGATGAGGAGGCTGGGTGTTCATCTGGAACCAAGCATGAAGAGGGTGAAGAAGAAGAAGAAGAAGAAGAATATATGATGGAGTATGCACATGGTGGGGGTGGGGCGCGCGTTAGCTATCATGCGCATGGCCCTTTTCCAGAGTCCATGGTTCAGTCCCCTCCTCATAGCCCTAGGGCTTACCACTCTCCTTTGATGTTCACTCCACAGGTTTGGTTCATATTATATATACACAACAACACACATAAGAAATATATATATATATATATTTTTTTTATATGTATATGCATTCTCAAGATTTGTTTTTCTTTTACATAGAAGGTTTGGGTCAATGAGTATATTTGTTTTGGGACAAGAGAGAGAAAACAATACTCAACAAAGTGATTTTTTTTTTTTTTTTTGGCATTTGTTTGGTGTATGTGTTTTGAAGTTGTGAAATTTTATTGGGAATCCATTTGGGTTGTTTTATTGGAGTTGTTTTTGGCAAGCATCTGTTCTCTTCCACCACACTCACTATTTTTTTTATGGAAGTCCTAAAAAAAGAGCTATATCTTAATTTTTACAAGTCCTCTCTTCGCCCATGTTCTTCAAAGAAAAGGTAAGAACAGTGGTTATTCTGGGTCTGATGAAGTTGTACAAGTGATTGATAAGTTAAAAATAAAAGGGCAATTCAAGTGCACGAGTCTCTCTCGTCACTACGGGGTCTGGGGAGAGTCAGATGCACACAATCTTACCCCGAATAGAGAGACTTTGTTTCATTATTCTTTGCAGACATGTCATGTTATTTGTTAATATGGTGTATGTTGGTCCCGTTTCATAACCCACAGCATTAGGCTCAATTGAGGTTTGATTGTACAATCTAATCAGCAAATATGCTTGCTCCAATAGAATCTTCAATTTTTGTGGAATTTTGGAATTAGACTGTGACTGTGAGTCTGCATTGAAGCCGGTTTTATGAAACACCCTTGGGTACAAGCATTCATTTATATGAAACTCCATGTTTATGTTCAGGTGCCCGTAAATCCTGTACAAAGGCCTGATGAGATGATGCAAATCCAAAGTAATGCATCGAACCAAAATGCAACTCAGAATTATGATTTGCTTTCTGAGACGTTAATACCAACAATGATCATGTGGAGATACCATGGAAAGGATGTAGCCATTGAGGGTTCATGGGATAACTGGAAGACAAGGTGTATAAGATCTGTTTTAAGTTTCTTCTTTTTGTATTCTGTCTGAATTTTACGCTTTCCAAGACAATATGCTATAATCAACAATTAACTGTTTTCTACCAGAGATTTCCTACAAAAAACAGACAATGACTTCGCGATTATCAAAGTGCTCCCATCAGGTGTTTACCACTTGCGGTTTATTGTTGACGGACAATGGAGGCATTCTCCAGACTTGCCACAAGAGCGCGATGATTTGGGGAATATTTTTAATGTTTTGGATTTACAGGTAAATTTGTCTTTTTTTATTTTTATTTACTTCCATACAATATATAGATATATCAATCCCATGAACTGTTGTTGTCTGAGGAGAATGTTTTTCTTTTACTCTCTGTTTTCTTGTTGCTAAAAACACTTTCTGAAACATAGAAAGCAGACCCTCAATGTATTATATTTAGAAAAGTATGTTTTATTGTTTTTCCATATACATGGCCAGTGCGCATCTCTGACTCGGCCTCATATCCATTAAACTTGTTCCCTTATTTCATATGTAGTTTCTACTGATGTGAAAATATTTATGCTGGGCATCCTTTTCTTTTTTGAGTGGCCAAAGCAAATATGCTTTAGAGACATCAGAGAAACTATTTGCACAAAATAAAAGTAGCTTGGATGTCTAAATTAGAGCATAAACAGTAATTAAAACCAAATGTCTCTCATTTTTATGTGATAAAAAACTTCCCCAAGTTGCTGATATCAGTATTTTGTGTCTGTATCATGCTGATACAAATACAAAATATTTCAACAGTCTTTGGATATAATACCTTCTTCAGAACAATAGTCCAATCCTTATGGTAAACTCTTTAACCTTTCAGCAAAATAGCTTCATCAAGATGGACATAATTTATTTATTTTTTTGGATGAGGTACAAACTTAGCACTGGATAACTGGCAATAAGGTTTAAAGATAAATGGTATTCGTTTCATTGTTGCTGCATTTTGTTTTCATCTCATAAGATCTATGATTTTTCGTGCTCGTGCTATTTCTTTAGCCTCCAGAATTTTCAAGAATTTACTTGCTGCTGATGTAACACTCGTTACTTAGCAACTGATGCTGTCCAAAAACCATGTATCTGTTTGTGCTACCTTTTGTTAGCAACTATTACTTACAATATCAATACCATCATTTTGTTGCCAAAAAGGTAGCCTTATGAGATTGACCCTAAGAGGCTTTTCTATCTGATACTCAGTAAATACATAACCGATGACTTCCTGTTTCCTATTGTTCGGTTTCTGATGAGAATTAGTCAATATCTTCTTACTAAAAATATTTATTGGCATTGCATCTCTTTCAATCAGATTACAGGAAGGCCTCAAAGAAACATTCTAACCTTCAATTATTCTACTATTAACAGTTGAAACCTATAATTTCCTTAGTGTCAAAAAGGTTTTTGATGCCTTAACATGAGGCTTGAAAATTCATATGACACATGCCTTGTATTATAGACTTGCATCACTGTAATTAGCCAATAGCCCCTCGTACTCTGCCCATATGTATAAGATCACACCCAAGCTTGGCTTGTCCAATGGTGACTACTCCTTAGACAAGTTTAATACTCATTTTTCAATTTTCATATACTTTTTAAAATTGTTCTAATTCAAATAAACTATGGACTATGTGCCACCCCTTACAGATTAGGCTATAAAAAATAAAAATAAAAAAAGTTTCCGTCATTTACAAACTACTGGCTCAAGTAACTTAAGAAAGCTTTATTCGGTTTCCAAGACAAAATAAATAAATAAGTAATTGGTTTTGAAATTTTTAATGTTAACAATCGACCTTGAGCGTAAAAACTGTCATCCTCAAGTTTTCTCACACTTGAACCGCTATTTTGGCACTAGTGATTAGAGTTGCCTTCAAGTCTAAAAAATCTTGCATAGTGGTGATGTCAGTCTTCTTTGTTTGGAGGTTATGCACAACAACTGGACCGACCATTTATTTATTTTTGGAGTTGTTCATCTCCTCACGTCGATTTCTAAATGGATTTTAAGCAGGAATTTATACACACCATTCTTAACTAATCTAATGCAGTGTCATCAATTTATGTCACACTTCATGACAGGGACACTTAAACAATAATGGAATATGAATGAAATGCTCTTGGAATAAAGTTTTAGCTTTTGGTTATCTGATTACATCAATAATCAGATTACAAATTCACCAATTTATTCTGCAGGATTTTGTTCCAGAAGTCGTTAATAACAATTCCGACTTAAAAAATAGAACTTTTTTATGTTATACACGAAGCTCAAAACAGCAAGAAAGATAGGCTAAAAGTGTGTGCAAAAACGGGGAATAAAGAGGAAAAATGGGTTACCTTTGTAGCCAAAAGGGGACAGCAGCCTCTTGGTCCCAAAAACAGTCCCTTAGCCTCTGAAAATGGCCTCCAAGCTCCTTAGGTTGATGATGGAGGTGTTAGGCCAAGAGTTGTAGTTCAAATGGCCAAAAACTAGACCCTTTTGGACCCTCTAACCCACCCAAATGTAGAGAGAGAGGGAGATATAGAGAGGGAGTGATATATATATCATATATATCTGATTTTTCTAACCCCTAAAATGGAAGGAGAGGCTCTCCTTATATAGAGAAACCAAGGGGGCAAAGCTTCTCTTAGAAGCTTTGACCAAAAGGGCCAAGCTTCTTGGAGAAGCTAGGCAAAGGGGTCAAGAGGTTCAAGTTTCTTGGAGAAGCTAAAAAAAGGGTTCAAGCTTCTTGGAGAAGCTAAAAAAGGGTCAAGCTTCTTGGAGAAGCTAAAAAAGGGTCAAAAGGTTCAAGCTTCTTAGAGAAGCTAAAAAAAGGGTCAAGCTACTTGGAGAAGCTAAAAAAGGGTCAAAAGGTTCAAGCTTCTTGGAGAAGCTAAAAAAAGGGTCAAGTTTCTTGGAGAACCTAAAAAGGTTCAAGCTTCCTCAAGAAGCTAAAAAAAGGTTCAAAAGGGTCAAGCTTCTTGGAGAAGCTAAAAAAAGGGTCAAGCTTCTTGGAAAAGCTAAAAAGGTTCAAGCTTCTTCAAGAAGCTAAAAAAGGGTTCAAAAGGGTCAAGCTCCCTCAAGAAAAGGTCTCGGCCAGGAAAAGTGGCCGATTGATCAGAAACAGTGGCCGGCTGACCAAACACAATGCCGACCGACCATCAACAATGCCGACCGGCCATCACCAATGGCCGGTGGCAAGGAAACAAGGCCGGTGGCCTCAAGCCATGGCCGGTGAGGTGTGTGGATGGCCTACAAGCTACTTCCCACCCTCAGAAGCAAAACAACAAGTGTTTGGTGCAAAACCAAATACAAAACAGTCGAGTCGAGAGATCCTGAGGCAGGGCGCGTAGCCGAGACCTCCGGGAACTCAAGACGAACACGAACAAGGATGATCACCGAGTGTTCAAACGTTGACGTCCAAGTCTTGAGGTCGGTCAAAAATGGGGTGTCTACAGGAAGGTTTCTTGGAAATGCTAACGTAACTGTGGCTGGTGTTAATCTCTGTTTTTATTTTTTGATCGACAACAACAAGAAGAGAATTAACAAAAGAAACGACACCTCAGTCTAACACAATCACATATTACCCTTCAATCTCTAGAGATCAAGCAAAAAAGGAATCCCTCGAAAAGGGGAAGACACTAGGCTCAAAAAGATGACAATAGCAAACTATGTCCTATAAAGAACCAATGCCCTCAGTCTTATCCTCGGAAATTTTTTTATAATGATCCTACAAATAAATAGCCTTTTAATTAGCATTTTTGAAGTAATTGCCTAGTTTTTAAGAGTTCATATCAATGTATTCTTTGATTTTGAAAGTAAGGAAGGTTTCTTGGAAATGCTAATGTAACTGTGGCTGGTGTTAATCTTTGTTTTTGTTTTTTGATTGGCAACAACAAGAAGAGAATTAACAAAAGAAACGACACCTCAGTCTAACACAATCACATATTACCCTTCAATCTCTAGAGATCAAGCAAAAAAGGAATCCCTCGAAAAGGGGAAGACACTAGGCTCAAAAAGATGACAAATAGCAAACTCTGTCCCATAAAGAACCAATGCCCTCAGTCTTATCCTCGGAAATTCTCATGTTTCGATTGAAGGGGAATATAGGAGAAGGAAAAGTTTCATCATGTAACACTGAGACTCAAACTGATCCATCAGACAAACCCTGAGGTCTTGGAGCTAGCTTTAATCAAGAAAACAAGAATGTTAGAAAGTCTTACTGTTCTGGTTCTTTTTCTCTAGTCATGAATTTATTCTTCCCTCCCTGCTTCTCACTCTCCCCCACCTAATAGCATCAAAAACCCTTTTATCAAATCATCTCACTGCAGCCTTACCTTGGCACCAAAATCAAAACAGAAAGGTATATGAAGTACACATTTACAACTGTGTGTGTATGTCTGTGTGGAAAGAAGAGTAAATCTTAACATGGTGAGTAAAATATAGGAGGACACTTGAACCTAATTTTGCATGGACTGATGAAATCTTGTTTTTTGGCACTGATGAGAGAAGAGCAGATAGCTACTTTGGCTGCCACTGTTACAGAAACTGTATGCCTTATGTGTTCATCATCCCTACTTTGGCTGCCATTGTTACAGAGCAAATCTTGCTTTGTTTTTGGATATGGTTGTTGTGGCATTGATATGTACTAGTCTAGATATTATAAACCTCATCTATCCACTTAAACATTTGAACAACATGCCCCAAATGGCCCACTTTGCCCATAGATATGTGGTACTGAGCCATCATTTTTAGATGTAATGTAAAATGTAATAACCCGACCCTCATATCTGTTTCTAGTATATTTTCGATCTGTTATTCTGTGCATTTACTTGCTTTCTGTGAAAAGTGATTTATATCTGTGGCATTTTTATTAGTGTATTTGGAACCCCCCTATTTTATTTTGGGCTATTGATTGTGGTGGTAATATGATGGTAAAGTAAGATTGGATCAAAAATTTTAATTTGAATAATTCGTTTACGACCAACCATCACTCTTTTTCCCTTTTCTTGTTCCACACTTGGAATTTGGATGTGAGGTTAGAACCATTGGAAAGCTTATTTTCGGGGCTTCAATTTGGGCACAAGAATGACCTAAAACGGAGTCCGGATGAAAGAGTTACGCCTGTTTGAAGTTTTCATATCTGTGCTGGAAGCAGGACCGCACGTGTGGGAAATGCGGCGCACGTGCGGCGATGTGCGGGGCAGCAGCTCAAAAACGTGATTTTTGAGTCATTTCTTAGATTTTCTTTTCCTCTCTTCTTCTTCCCTCTTCCATGTCCGAAACCCTAGCTCCCAAAACCTTGATTTCCTCCACTTTTCTCAACAAATCAACCATGGATCTTGCATCAAAGATGGAGAATAAGAGGAGATCACCACTTTCTACCGAATGGAATTCTGAAATTTTTGAGGTATGTTGGGGTTCTATTATGGGGTTTAGAGTATGGTTTATGGGTTATGGACCTAGGGTGCCTAATAAATGAGAAGATTTGAAATAAAAAGTAATGGGTTAAGAAGATTTAAAATTTTATTTGAAATTTGTAGATTTCTTAGAAACCCTAGGTTGGTTTTGATGATAATCCATGATTTGGCCCAAATTGATAGTTGAATCATGAAAGTGGTAGGTTGAATTAGATGTGTTCAAGTTTAATTGGAATTTGGTTATGTTTGAAAATTATGTTTAAATTTTGCGATTGAACTTTGTTAAATGCATTGTAAATTATGTTTTAATAAAAGGGAAATTGGGGAGAAAGAAGAAGAAGCTTCCAAGGAAGAAGATTGGGAAATTAAAGGGGTTATAAAGATTTTAATGGAGGGTATGTGTAATTCATTCTTAATGGTTCCTCTCTTTGATAACTAAGTAGAAAGTTCTTTATGTTATACAAGTTAGGGTTTATGTTATGGAACAAATATGTGGCGACTGATTAATTAGAATCATGCTTTTGAAGTTTGATTATGTAGCTAAATGATCATGTGTGTATATATAGCTATGTGTGAGAAGATAGGAATGTTATGAAGTTAAGTTGTGTTTGTGAGTTAAGATCAAAAGTCCAAATTGTATGAAGATTGATCTATGTTATAGCTCCTATTTACATGATTTTGAACCATGTTTCATCAATTAAAAGAACCTATTTTGAGACTTGAAAAATGTATCAAAAATTGGGTTTTTCTGCATTTTCGGACTGCTTTCTGCCTATCATGCAAGAAACATACACACATATAGTGGGACCTAATTTAAAATGAATCTCAACTACTCCAATATTTTTTCTGACTAATTTTTGAAGTAAAGTTTTCAATTCAAAACATTTCTGTTGAAACATTTATAAACATATATATATATATATATATATGCATATACCAAATCTCTATTCCTCTCTCTCTTCCATCTTTGTATTCTCTCTATCTCTCTATCTATATATATGCATATACCAATCTCTATTCCTCTCTCTCTTCCCTCTCTATATTCTTTCTTTCTTTTCTTCCCTTCTCTCCCTATATATATATATATATATATAAGAAGAATTGATGTTTGTGGTGGTGTTTCAGGAAGAATCGGTTAAAAAATTAATCCAACACGTGGTTTGTGCTTGGAAACGTAAGAAACTAGGTATGACAGTGAATGATATCTTTGCTAGCTGTCTTTTCTTCTACAATTCAACATCGTCAAGTTTCTATAGCTGTCTGTGTGTATTCTCTCTTGACTCTAGTGTACTTAAAAATGAATATAGAGTTGAATGACAAACAAATTGGTGACCATGTCCCTGTTTTCTGTACAGACGATATATATATTTGTAAGACACATATTACTTGTTGAATTACTTCCCTTGTAGAGGGAAGAATTAAAGGGTTGACAAGAAACTATTCTATTTTTTTTTCTTCTCTCTCTTCTCTATATAATACACAGAGAAATTTCTTCAAACCAGAGAAATTTTCAAAACACAGAGACAATCAAAGAAATTTCTCTGAGTTAGGCGAAATTTCTCTGAATCAAAATTTCTTTGAATTTATCTGAATTGGGCCAAATTTTCTCTAAGTCGGGTGAAATTTCTCTAAGTTAGGTCAAAATTTCTCTGAGTTTGGGCCAAAAATTTATTTGATTTTCTATAACATCTGAATTTTTCGTGATCCATCAAATTATGTTGCATGCTTGATTTTCACTAGTTAATTGTGTCCTTGTGTGTAATTTTCCTCTTCAGATAAATTTTCTCTAGCATCACAATTTTCTTTAAACATATTGAATTCACTTTACTCTATATGTCTTACTTGATTTTCTATGGCTAGTTGTCCCTTTGATTTTCTCTCTAATTTTTTTTGGCATTTTAATTTTTTCTGACCACAATAAACTCCCACTAATTTGTGTTGTTTGTTTGATTTTCATTGGTTAGTTGTTCTTTGAGCTAAATTTTCTCTGGCATTTGAATTTTTCCTAAAAACATTAAATTCTCACTAATTTAGGTTACTTGTTTGATTTCACTGATTAGTTGTCTCCTTGTATATAATTTTTCCTTTAAGATGAATTTTCTCTTGCTTTAAGATATCTCCTTTTGATTAATTTTTTCTGAATACATTGGACTCTCTTTCTCTCTATGGCTTGCTTGATTTTCTCTGGCCAGTTTTCTCTTTGATTTTCTCTCGAATTTTCTCTGGCATTTGAATTTTCCCTACCCACATTAAGCTTTCACTAATTTATGTTGCATGTTTGATTTTCATTGAATTTCTAACTTCGAATTTTATTTCTTGTAGGATGTTTAGTGTCTGTTATTTTTTAAATTGTAATTAGATTTTGTATTTAAAGTTTTTTGATGAACTTAGCATAGTGTTTTCTTGAAAAAATCATAGAAAAATTGGTTTGTAAGTAACTCAATTTTCTTTGGTTTGTTCGAAACACAAACTAGAGAAATTTGTGACCAAATCAGACAAATTGGTCAAAACATAGAGAAATTTGTGAGCAAACCAGAGAAATTTCAAACCAGACAAATTTCTCTGTGTTTTGAAGTTTCTGTGAATCGAAGTTTCTTATAAAAATTTGAGGGACCCTAACTACTATGAAAATATTTCATGCCCTTTATGCTATAAAATCTTGGGAAAATTTTTTTAAGGTCCCTAATAATAGTAATTTAAAGGATAGAAAATACCAAAAAAAAAGAATGATGTATCCGGTCCCTCAATTGGAACGCATGCATTTTTAATTCTTTCTTGGACCAAAATACCCTTCACAAATCAACTGAGAACACTCCACTGGATTCCGATGACTCAGTTCCATTTCAAAAATCCAACCAGCTTCACGAGCAAGAGAACAAGAGACTTAGCGTTTCACAATCATCTTCACTATCGACATTATGATTTCATTATCTTCTGTCAAAATCTTTTCTATTCCTTCCTCACAAATTTCTCTGACCCGTTTTCACTATTCATTGTCATCTCAGTTCATGTTCATCTCATTGCATCTTCATCTCACAGCATATCAGTTCGTAATTAGTGTTTCATCACACTCTGGTAAGTTTTCTACAATCCAATGAGTTTTTCTCTAGAAACACAGTTAATTGCATATTATATTAGCCTTCCATTTATTAGGGTTTCAATTCGTAATAAAAGCTACATGAATTTGAAAAATGTTTTTTCTCTAAGTTTTGAACTTAATGTTGAAGATGTTTGTGTGATTTTATCTGTAAATTTCTCTGTCATTTGAATTTCTCTGGTATTGGCTTGATCTATGTTTCTTCTTTGAATTTTCTCTGACATGTCTATTCCCCCATTTTCTCTGGCATGGTTAATTTCTCTGTATTTCTCTATGTAATTTTCAAATACAATTCATTCAAATTTCTCTGCTCTATAAATTTCTTTGGCTTGCCATGTTTAATTTTCTCTGGCATGTAACATTTTCATTTTTTGTGCTTGCTAGATTTATGTTTCTTTTTTGAATTTTCTCTAGATATATTTTACATCTATATGTAATATTACTCTCTTGTCTGTGTCTAAGTTTCTTTGGCATTTATAATTCTCTCTAGCCACATCACTTTTCTCCCTTGTGTGTCTTTGTCATGTTTAAATTTCTCTGATTGTGTATGTAAATTTCTCTGGCATTTTAATATCATAGAATGAAAATTTTCTCTGGAATGTGTTTGAATTTTCTCTGGCTATATTTTACATCTATATGTAATATTACTTTTTTGTTTGTGTCTAAGTTTCTTTGGCATTTATAATTTTCTCTGGCCACATCACTTTTTTTTCTTTGTGTGTCTCTGTCATGTTTAAATTTCTCTAGTTATATATGTAAATTTCTCTGGCGTTTTAATATTATGGAATCGAAATTTTTTTGGAATGTGTAATTTTCTCTGGAATGTGTTTGAATTTTCTCTGGCATTTTCATTTTCTGTGGTTGCAAGATTTATGTTTCTTTCTTGAATTTTCTCTAGCCATATTTTACATCTATATGTAATTTTTTTATCAATTTTTTTATCATGTTTATGTTGCTTTGTTTATTTTCTCTGGGAATGGAAATTATTTGTGGCAACATGTATTCCATACGAAAACACTTAATATTCTCTTGTCTATGTCCAAGTTTCTCTGGAATTTATAATTTTCTCTGGCCACATTACTTTTATCCCTTGTTGATTTCTCTAGCATGTTTATGTTGCTTTTTTTATTTTTTCTGGGAATGGAAATTTTCTGTGGCTAGATATATGTCATAGAAAAACAATTAGTACTCT